CCTCCTGAATGTCTGGCCTGTACCTCCATTATGAATGCATTGTGATTCATGCCTGTTGAAATAATTCTGCATATTCAGCTGCACATGTGTGTGTCTCACTGTATTTCTGTGAAAATGACAGCAGCAGAATTGAACTTGCAATAGATCGTGCTCACTGTTACAACCTCTTTGATGTTAGTCTAGGGTAAAAGTAATAACATTTAAAAGGTGTGGTACTTTAGCAAGATGATGGGTGAATGCAAAAGACACAAACAACAAAACTGCCAACAAAAGTGATTTAATGTACAAAACGTGAAATCAGAATAATGCCCAAATATAAAAATACATTAAGAAAAATATTTACAATAATAATAAAGTAACAAATTAAACAAAGTATCAAACAAAATTAGGTCATTTCAAGAGCAAGGGGACGCTAGTGAAGCCAAATCAAAGAAATAAATATAACAAAACAATTCTAACTCATAAGCAAACCCCTTATCTCGCTAGAAACATGAAAAGAAAAAGAAAAGAAAAATCTTCAGCGCCGAGCGCCGTAACCTTACCTATTCTGAACTAAAACAAAACAAATACATAAGTGGCATTCACTTCTTACCTGGTGTTGTAAACAATGGATTGACTACGTGTATGTAAGATGGAAGTCGTACTACATCTTCCCTGTCCACCTTACTCTGAGGACAACGTCAACTCTCAATAATCTCTTTTTGTTCGCCAGGTAAGAGTTATACCAAAAGTAACAAACAAACAATCGAAAATAAGATGTACAAAAATCACAAAGTAGTTCAAAATGGGCAGAAATAATGCTAAATAATTTGATCCAAACAAAAGTTAATCAAAATTAACGAATAACAAAATCAGGTCGGCAAAAATAGGATCAAAGGAAAAGCGCGCTGTCATCCGCTCTCCCTGGCATCCTTATATGTGACAGCGCAACGTCACTCAATGATCAATCGGCTTCCACGAAGTCGGACCTAAAGGATACGACAGGCAGAGATGGGGGAGAGAGAGAGAAAGAGAGGAAGAGAGAGAGAACGGGATGCAAAAAATCCCACCAAGATACGGCAACCGTAACACTCACATTTGCCAAAACTCCGCTAGTCGGCGCCAGTGGTGTAGTGGTTAGTGCACTCTGGTGCTCGCGGCGACCCGGGTTCGATTCCGCCTCGCGGTCCTATGCCGATCTTTCCCCTCTCTTTGCTCCCCATGCTTTCCTGTCAATTCTCTCTACAGTCCTATTAAAAATAAAGGTGAAACCCCCGAAAAAAAAAAATTATTAAAACAAAAAAAAACCCCGCTAGACTTTACAGGGACATTCCTCATGAATAATACTCAGCATCCTGAAATATTGCAACTCTGTTTTTCTCTCATTGAGAGCAGTGTAATGTTTATTTCCAGCCGTCTGTCTTTATTTCTGCGGCTGTGCTGGCGGTGGATGTTCAGAATCAGCGTCTGATGTTTGTTTTGTAAGCAGTCAGACTCGCAATCCTTCATTCAGGGCTCAAGACCTGAGAAAAGGCTTGTGATGTTCATTTGTGTTGATGGAAATCTTGTTCAGAAAAGTTCATAAGAGCAGCAGCTGATGCAGTTCACAAGTGTGGAAGAATAAGGATATTATATTACATTGCATTACATTACGTTATGTAAGGGCCGCACAGTGGTGCAGTGGGTCGCCTCAGAGCAAGAAGGTCGCTGGTTTGAGCCTCGGCTCAGTTGGCATTTCTGTTTGGAGTTTGCATGTTCTCCCTGTGTTGGCGTGAGTTTCGTTCGGGTGCTGCGGTTTTCCCCACAGTCCAAACACATGAGCTACAGGTGACTAAATTATTAGATCGCTTGTTAATTTTTTTCCTAATTTCTGTTTAACGGAGAGCAGATTTTTTCAACACATTTATAAACATAGTTTTAATAACTCATTTCTAATAACTGATTTTATCTTTACAATGATGACTGTAAATAATATTTTACTAGATATTCTTCAAGACACTTCTATACAGCTTAAAGTGACATTTAAAGGCTTAACTAGGGTAATTAGGTTAACTAGGCAGGTTAGGGGAGTTAGGCAAATTATCGTATAACAGCGGTTTGTTTTGTAGATTATCAAGAAAAATATTGCTTAAAGGGGCTAATAATATTGTCTCTAAAATGGTTCATTAAAAATTTCAAACTGCTTTTAATCTAGCCGAAATAAAACAAATAAGACTTTTTCTAGAAGAAAAAATATTATCAGACATACTGTGAAAATGTCCTTGCTCTGTTAAACATCATTTGGAAAATATTTTAAAAAGAAGAAAAAAAAATCGAAGGGGGCTAATAGTTCTGACTTCAACTGTACTTTGTGAAATATTTTAAAAAGAAGAAATAATTCAAAGGAGCTAATAAATCTGACTTCAAATGTATATAGCCAATGAAATATGTTTCAGTGTTTATTAAACTCATTTACTTATTGTCCGTTTTCTTTTAAAGATTTTATATGTGATATTAAGCCTTGAAGGGATAATACTAAATTTAATTCATGGGACATAATTCAATAAAGAAAGTTTAATAGTTTATATAAAGCATAAAATTCAATAAATATTATCATATTAATTACAGAAAATTAACATCTGCACTGGATAAAATATTTAGCAAAGCCTTGTATGCTTAATTTGAACAAGAAAAAAATATTCATATTTTTATTAAATCATTCATTCATTCATTTTCTTGTCAGCTTAGTCCCTTTATTAATCTGGGGTCGCCACAGCAGCATGAACCGCCAACTTATCCAGCAGTTTTTACTTCCAGCCGCAACCCATCTCTGGGAAACATCCACACATACACACACACACTACAGACAATTTAGCCTACCCAATTCACCTGTACCGCATGTCTTTGGACTGTGGGGGAAACCTGAGCACCCGGAGGAAACCCACACGAACGCAGGGAGAACATACAAACTCCACACAGAAACACCAACTGAGCCGAGGATCGAACCAGCGACCCAGCAACCTTCTTGCTGTGAGGCGAACGTGCTACCCACTGCGCCACTGCGTCACCCTTTATTAAATTAAATATATATTAAATAAATGTAATAGAAAAAAAAACTTTCTCAAGCATCAACATATTGTTAAAACATCAAATTATATATTTTGTGATTGCATCATTTGATAAGTAGTCCTTCAATGAATGATCCGCCAGATAGAACCCTATAATTCCAAGCTGAAAATGGCTTTAGATTCAGAAGGTTTGCCCTGTTTGTTTTACCCCAATTTGCATTTTATTCTCATGTAGAGTACATTTAGGGACTCTGTCATGTTAATGTATGAAAGAAAATTGTCACACGCATATTGTTTGCTGCATGAAATGCAAAAACTTTGAAGCTCAATATCTCTAAATCATTTAGAACGCAGATAAAACCGTATAACTCTAACGCCTGTTTCACACCGCAAGCGTCAGCGGCGCGTGAGCAGAGCGTGAGCAGCGCGTATGTCGAGCAGTAGCAGCACGCAGGCGTTTGCCTTTCACACCAGCTGCGTCTGCAGCGCGCAGCTCTTCGGCAGCTGCTGCAGAGATCAACCTATCTCTGTCTATTCTATCTAGTTACCCATGTCTCTCTATATACAAATACACTTTTTAAACTTTTCATCTGCACCAAGGCCCCTCCTATGCTGTTTCTTTAACTGGCAAATGTTTATTTTACAAATTCTATAGATCAAATAATACTGTATGCTTCTCAATCTAACTTATATAAGAAGCGTCTACAGTCAGAAGACAATCGCCTGTGATATCATGTCATTTGTTTTTTATTATCAGGTTGCTGTAGACCTAGTTATAATAATATTTATACAATATAGTTATAATGATATTTATACATGATCAAACTAGTGTTACTTTCTCCGCTTCAGTGATGTCCAGCGGCAGAAAAACAGCTCGTTAATTCATGCTCGTGCAGAGGATGAGACGGACGAAAGTAACCAATGCATGCCATTCTTTTACTTATTTTCGTGTTGTCAGATTCAGAGTGCAATTTGTGCAAACAGCTCCTGGTAGGAATAACTCGAGTGAACATAAAACAAAGCCGATAAAAACTTTCTTGCTCTGCTCAGCTGCACAGAACACAGCGAGCTCACATAATCCAGCATGCGTGTCGCACTACACTACCCACAATACACTTCGCTGTGGACTACAATTCCCGTAAATATTCTATTTCCCCTCTCCTACAACACTAGTGTGCAACTTAAGCAAAACTGATACTAAAATTGTTTTACATTTGGTTTTGTAGTTCGGGCCTAAATAAATGTTTGTTGCCGTTTTAAATCGTTTTAAGTGAATTTGAATGACTATATATAAACCATTTGACATTATTAACGCATTTATTGGGTAAAATTGCTACTTTTTACTGTCATTCAATGTTTTGGTCATTATCAATGCACTGTCACTTTAATTGAGCGTGAGCAGCGCGTCAAAAATAGACCCAGTGCCGAAACTATTGCTGCACTGCTGCTTCGGCGACGCTCACGCCTCGCTCTGACGCGCTGCTGCTGCGTGCGGTATGAAAGCTCTAATCTGTTAACATGGACGCCGAAAACACACGCGCTGCTCACGCTCTGCTCACGCGCCGCTGACGCTTGCGGTGTGAAACAGGCGTAACAGAGAAAACGCTCAGAATTGTATGCGGGGCAACCCTAGGCGTTGCCGAACTGCATTGTGGATCCGTCGGCGCTGCTTCAGAAGCGTTCCTCGCTGCAGAAGTTGGGACCAGCGCCGACGGAAGCGTCAGCCAATCAGATCGCTGTATGCAAATACACCAGCTCAGACAGTGGCCTATTGCTGACTGAATTTCATTGGCTGACGCTTCTATGACGATCGTTTCAGCTCCAACTTCAGACACGCCCTCTGTCAAGCGTTGACGCTGAAGCCCCGTGTGAATAGGGCGTAAGGTGACGACATATAAAACAATGCAAAAGTACTGCACTGAAATGAAAACTGCATTTTCAGAATGAGTGTTTCTGATGGTCTGTGTTGTTTTGCAGGTTTCAGCGTGGAGATTACCACATCGACGTGTGTATAAACGACTATCTGGACGTGTACTGTCCGCATTACGAGGACTCTGTGCCGGAGGAGCGTACGGAGAGATATGTTCTCTACATGGTGAATTATGACGGATACAGCACCTGCGACCACACGGCCAAAGGATTCAAGCGCTGGGAGTGCAATCGCCCTCATTCGCCCAACGGGCCGCTCAAGTTCTCGGAGAAATTTCAGCTTTTTACACCCTTTTCTCTGGGCTTCGAGTTCAGGCCCGGACGGGAGTATTACTACATTTGTGAGTACTTTAGTATTTAATATTATATATTCTATTATTATTATTATTATTATTATTATTATTATTATTATTTATGCAGTGTTATATAAGGAAAAGTAAGTATTGAATCCATTTTTTCCTGGGAATAATATTTCTGAAGGAGCTGTTGAGATGGAATTGAAGCAGATTTTGGTAAAAACCCAAACAATACAAACATAAACATAAAACAAAACAAATCTGACAAATGAGTTGTGTGTAATAACACTGGATTGACAGAAGGAGAAAGCGCTAAACTACTGAAATGTGTTTAATACTTCATATAAAGGCCTTTTTGGTGCTGCAGCTTAAAGACGCCTCTCATATGGAGAATAAAGTCTCATGCATTGCTCAGGAGTTTTTCACAGACTTCGACAGAGTGTCTAAATCTTGATGATTCTGTGGGTCTCGCCTATCAAATCTGAGCTTTACACTGTATTCTATTGGATAGAATAGATTGGATCTATTGGATTGGCGTCAGGTGATGGGCTGGGCCATTCTACAGCTTGATTTTCTTTCTCTGAAAGCATCTGAGAGTCTCCTTGGCTGTGATTTGGATCATTGTCTTGCTGAAATGTCCACCCTGGTTTCATCTTCATCCTCCTGCTAATGTAGATGTTGGACTGAAGCAGCTGATCTTCATTTGTACTGATGAAGGGCAGAGGGTTACTGAAAAACTACTGAGAGATTTCAGCTGCTGTCTTGGCTTTCACTGCCCAGCTACACCTCCCTTTCTTCATGTGTTCAATACTTTTTCCATGTGTCATTTCATTCACAGAACTTTATTTATAAACTAATTAGTTTGCATGTATGTATAATTGTTTTTAAAACTAGTATGTTTAGTATTTTATTATTTTAATAATTTTACATATTTATACAATAATTTTACTCATTTAGCTGACGCTTTTTTCCAATTCACCAAACTTGATTTTTTTATTTATTTTTTCATTATTACAGTTTTTTTTTAACGGAAAGAAATTTTTTCAACACATTTCTAATCTTAATAGTTTAAATAACTCATCTCTAATAACTCATTTCATTCTCCTTGCCATAATGGCAACATATGAGAATTTAACAAGATATTCTTCAAGATACTAGTATTCAGCTTAAAGTGACATTTAAAGGCTAGGCTAGGTATTTCTGAATAGGGGCTAATAATATTGACTCTAAAATTATTTTAAAACAATTAAAAACTGCTTTTATTCTAGCTGAAATAAAACAAATAAGAAAAAAAAAAAAATATATATATATATATATATATATATATATATATATATATATATATATATATATATATATATATATATATATTTATAAAAAAAAAAAAAAAAAAAAAAAAAAAAAAAAAAAAATATAAATTTATATATATATATATATATATATATATATATATATATATATATATATATATATATATATATATATATATAT